CTGATCATGAGCTGGTCACTGTGTCCATGTTATGGTAATTGCCTGGTCACTGAGTTAAGACTCAGTGACTGAATTGTGATTTTAACAGGTCATCATGTCCAGGCTTCCATCTTCACAGAGTTTAAGTTATGGCTTTCACTTCTTGTATTTTATGGCTTTTCCCCAGTAGGGACCCTAAAGGGGTAAAAAAGAGTAGGGAGTCAAGGAGGAAACCAAGGTTGTGAGCTGGATGACTAGAAGGATAGTGGTGCATTTGACAATAATAGGGAAATTGTGTTCCACAATTATATTCCCCTACCCCTGCAAAGATAAGAGGGAGATACATTCTTGTATCTCTTCTTTAGGATCAAGTTTGGGCGTTATAATCATGTAGCATGTAGTTTTGATGTTGTAATCCTATTGTTTTCCTGGTTCTGCTTACTTACTACTTACTTCTGCATCAGTTCATGTGAATCTTCTCATGCTTCTCCATAATCTTTCTATTCATATTTTTTATAGTTCAGTCATATTCCATTACATTAATGTACTATATTTTTGTTTAACCATTCCCAAATTGATGGGCATCTACTTTCTTCCTAGTTCTTTGCTACTAAAAAAATCTCCTATAAATATTTTGGTGTATATGAGATCATTCAATCTTTGACCTCCTTGTGGTATATGCCTATATATGAGTAAGAATCTTTGGGTATAATGAATAAGAACATTTTAATCACTTAGCATAATTCTATATAAGAAAAGACTTCTTGAGGATTATTCCATGCCAGGACCTTGATGAAGATGTCTGTATCCCAGTGGAAAGAGCCCTGGACCAAAAGTCAGAGGCTCCATGTTGGAATCACACTTCTGATACTGTGACTTTAGTTAAGTCATTACATGATTTCTAAGGTCTTTTACATTACATATTTGATTTAACAATTCAGCTAAACACACACATTTATTTCGTTTTTTTAATTTTTTAATTTTTAGGCAATTGGGGTTAAGTGACTTGCCCAGGGTCACCACAGCTAGTAAGTGTCAAGTGTTTGGTCTGAGGCCAGATTTGAACTCAGGTCCTCCTGAATCCAAGGCCGGTACTCTATCCACTGCACCGCCTAGCTGCCCCCAGCATAGTATCTTTAAATAGCAGTTACTTAATAAATGTGTGTGTTGGGGCAGCTAGGTGGCGCAATGGATAGAGCACCGGCCCTGGATTCAGGAGGACCTGAGTTCAAATCCAGCATCAGACACATAACACTTACTACCTGTGTGACTGTGGGCAAGTTACTTAACCCTATTGCCTAACCAAAAAAAAAAAAAAGATACTATGGTAAGCGCTACAGATGAAAATGAAACACAACACAGTGCCAAGGGTGATAAAGCATGTTTAATTCATTACACCTCAATTGTAGACACCCTGAAGGCTAGCACAGGTTCAAGGCTTACTTTGGGACAATATCCACAGCTGATGAGCCCCCACCAATGGTCCTTTTATCAGACCAACCAGAGGAAGATTACCAGCTCAAGGCAAACATCATTTAATTAAAAAGCATAGGCACTTAATGCCAAGGAACCTCCCCCACCTTTACACACTCTCCGTTATATTGCTACACTAAACCAGTATCCCAACTCCTAATCTTGAATCCATTTCTTGTCTGCCCCATGGGAGAGATACCAAAGTTTGTCATAGGCAGTCTCACTGAATTCCAAATATCCTTTCTCCCTTTCTAACACAATGAGAGGAAGGTTAACTCACTTGCTCACAGAAGGTCCTAGAAAAAACTTCGTTGAAGCTTTAGAACTGAAGTGGGAATCTCAGTATTAGAACGCCAAGCACTAAAGCTGGTATCATGACGCCTTTAGCCAGGAATCTCTGCTGAAGGCAAAACTTCCCAGAGCACGACTCTAGCTACCCACTGCCTTAGCACAGAGGCTGCTGGTGCCACCCCACACGGGCCAAGAACAGATAAGACTCAGAGACCATAATCCTCTGCCGCTCTAATTTCAAATCCTCCTCCACTCAGAGAGACATCCCTTGATCCTGTGCCTCGTACATCATAGGCTGCCCTTTGATATTCAAGACTCTTTCCTTAGGAGCACAGCTCTCTGCCCCCAAACCTTGTGAAAGACATAGTCTGATGAGTCTGTGCCTACTCAGAAGACATAAGTCTCATAAATATACACACAAATAACCATGATGTAAGGGGCAGTCTGATGACAAGGACAAAAGTGGATCCAGGCAAAGTAATATAAAGAAATCAGAGAGGAAGGACCATTTCAAGCTGGGGCGGGGGGGGCAAGGATAGAATGAAAGGGGTTGGAGAAATCCATGAAAAACTTATGGAGTTGATGACACCAGAATTGAGCCCTGAGAAAGGGAAGGATATAAGTGCCATAGGAAGTATGCTTAGAGAAAGAAGGGAAGTGGGCCTAAGACAGCACATTGGGAAACACCCACAATTTAGGAGTGTGATTTGGATGGGGAGCCAGAAAAGGAGAATACTGGAGTGTAGGGGATGAGGGAGAAAGAAGGGAAAAAATGTTCTCAGGACACACTTTTAAGTTTAATTGGCATTATAATATTTTCTCCATTACTTCCTCAAATCTAGTTAAAAAATAAAACAATGAATCACACCAGGATTTGTAGATTTCCAAGGTATAAATGCTCACATCTAAAGTGTAACATTTGATTCCTGAGAGTCTGTACAAGCTGATTCCACCACATTCCTGCCAGGGACCCAAATAGGAGAGGCATTATTTATGGAAAACCAAGGGACAGCCTATAGTGGTCAGTATGCTGCATCTGAAAAAATAGAATAAAATGACCTAAGCCTAACTACTTCTGCAATTGGACTTTTTGCACCTCTGTCAAAATTCTGCCATTAGAGCTTCATAATTTCCAGTTGATGAATTCAAAAGTCCCCTAGGATTTGGAATACATTATAAAATCCTCAGCTGTTAGTAATTCACAGTTCTATAACACATTAAGGTTTGAAAAGCACTTTGCTTACAAGAGCACTGTGAGGTTGGCAGTGAAAGTATTGTGATCTTCATTTTACAAATGATGCAACTAAGGCTCAGAGTGATCAATGAACTATCCCAGGTCAAACAAGTAAATAGTAGTGCCAGGATCTGAATAGATCGTAGAGGGAGAAAGAGTCAGAGGTGAGATTTGAGCCCAGGTCCCTCTGAATGTTTAGAAGATAGTATTATGCAATGGAAAAAAGTGTTATTGGGCTTCAGAATGAGGAGACACTGGTCCAAATTACAGGCACAACTCTTTATATTCTGTACAATCTTGTTTAATCCAATTCAACATGCATTGATTAAGCACTTACTGTGTATAAGACGTGGTTAGAACTGATGCCAAGTCAAATTATTTAAACTCTTTGAGGCTCAGTTTCCTCAATCATAAAATGAGTTGGTTAGATGAGAGCCTCTTTAAGATGCCTTCCTACTCGGATCCTAGATCCTAGAAGCCTGAAGATATTTAGAAGCCATGCTTTCTTCCCAAGAGCAATTAAAGAAGTTAGATGAAAAAAGGAGGGCAAGATAGTGGGTGGAAGTAAAATAATAGAGGGGTCAGGAGAGATAGGAAAAAAGAGATACACACAAGCATAAAATAAAGATCAGGAGTAGAGTTTATTAGGGCTGCTGCACTGCTGCTCCCCATCTTTTTTCTAGTTCACTTGTTCCAGTGTTTTTTTTCTGGGGTGATATTTTCTGGGTTTTCAGAGGTTGATAGGGGAGAGTGAGAGTGACTATCTTTTTACTCCACCGTCTTGGCTCCCCAGTAGAGTTTATTAGGGGAAAAAAGCAGAGGTAGTAATCATAAGCTAACCAAAATAGATTTAAAACTAAAATAGATTTAATCAAAAGAGAAAAATAGGGAAACTATACTATATGTCAGCCATTTTAATCAATATTGTTTTAGACTATTTAAAATAACTAGACAGTATTAGGTTGGAATATTGCTGTGATGTAGGAAACAATGAGTTGATGGACTTAGAAAAACATGGAAAGACTTGGACTTATGAAGGAAGAGGTTATCCACTCTCAGAGAAACAGAGGACAAACAAGCATGGTATGGTCATGCATAGATGCATATGATTGTGTATGCCGATATATGAATATGATTATAGATATCTAAGTATATGTATGTAAGTGTATGTATGTATATATATATATATATATATATATATATATATATTTGTGTGTGTGTGTGTATGTGTGTGTATATCTGCTCTTAATTGTAGCTTTCTTGGGGTAGAGGGAGAGAAAGGGGGAATAAAAGAACAAAGTGGAAGGGACACAGCAGAGAATAGGGGAAGGCTTACAAGGAAGCAAAGAAAAGATGCACAGCTCTGAACACAATGTGTAGTATTTATCTAGGCTTTCTTGAAATTAAAATTCATTGCTGTATATTTTGAATCCTCTCTTACCTTCTGCTGTGCACGTGGCAATGCTTTTTTTCTATTCTTATTTTGTATTTAAGTTTACAATACATTTCTTTTTCTTTTCTTATTGTGTATTTATGTTTAAAATAAATTAATAAAATATAATAAAAAAGAAATCTAAAAGTGGTAATGCTTAAATGTTGAACTTTTTTAATGTTGATAATGGCTACCACATTATCATCAGCAAAGGTATTATTGATTTTTAGTTGGGAAAACATGGCATTCCAGTCAGGTCACTGCAACTGAAATGAATGAAAACCTGGAAGACTTTTCAGTTGAAGAACTGTCTGTCAATACAAGAAAAACCAGCTGTATCACTCTGTCTTGTGTTAATGTGGCAATCATTATTTCCCTGAAAAGAAAGAAAATAGACTGAACAAAGACTCTAGTCAATCTTTACTCATGAAGAGTTGGGCTCAACTGAAAAAAAAAATGAACAACAGCTATTACTTCTATTTTACAGATGAAGAAACTGAGTCTGAGATCAGTTAAGTGACTTGCCCAGAGTGGTACAGCTAAGTCCCTGTCTGAGGTGGGATTTGAACTCAGGTCTTCTTGCCTCCAAGTCTGAAGCTTTATCCACCACGCCACCTAGATGATGAGACAAGAGAATAGAATCCCGTCTCTCACATTTAATAAGTCATATGACCCTGGTAAGTGACTGAGCCTCAGTTTTGTTGCATAAAAGATGGGGATAATAATCTTTATGGCACCAACCTTGCAGGTTTGTTGTGAGGATTAAATGAGGTAACATATGCACTTTGCAAACCTTAAAGTGATATAGAGATAGTAGCTATTATTCTTGTAGCCTCTTTGAATATCTAGCGTCTCCAAGTCAGGCCAACTGCTTCCTAGTAACAGTCTCATGAAACCTATTGTTTTGCCATCCAATCTAGCTAAACCTGCCTTCAGCTTGTGGTCAAATTTTGTATTAGCTATAAAGAAGGCAGGGCAGCTTAGTGGAAAGAGCACTGTGTCTTAAAGAAGGACCAGAATTTAAGAAAACCTTGACAGACCAAACTAAGTCAATTAACATAGTGCATTTTTTTCATCCATAAAGAAAAAAGAAAAAAAAACAGGATGAAAAATTTTATTTCCCTAGATGATTATTACTTTGCATGAAACTCTGCCCAGGCAGACTCCCAGAATTTGTGTCCACTATACATGCCTTCCTTATATTTCTCTTCACCTATCAAGTAATAGGAGATATTTCCCTTGCCTGATATCAATCTGGAGAGTCTCTTGTGGGTGCCAAATGTCTCTTGCTGTCTTCTTCCATGGAATCTTAGGATCATAGATTATCAAATCTAAAAGGAACCTCAGAGATTGTATAATTTAACCCCTATCGTTTTATGGATAGGAAAACTGAGGTGGTTTAGAGGCAGCTAAGTGGGGCAGTGAATAGGGTGCTGGGCCTAGAGTCAAAATGACTTGAGTTCAAATCTGGCCTTGGACGCTCGCTAGTTATGTGACCCAGGGCAAGTTATTTAACCTCTGTCTCAGTTTCTTCAATTATAAAATGGGTATAATAACATCTACCTCATAGGGTTGGCGTGAGGATCACATATTTCTTAGTATAGTGCCTTGCACATAGTAGGTACCTAATAAATGCTTATTTCCTTCACTCCTTCTTCCTAGAGAGGTTAAGCAATGTGCCCAGGGTCATCGAACCCTAAGTTCTCTGGATTTTTATATTCAGCATTTTCATCAATGGCTGGGATGCAAATAAATGGAATGTTTATTAATTTTTCTGATGACATAAAGATGGGAGGAATAGCTGATGTGTTAGGCATCAGAATCAAGATTTTAAATAATTTCAATAAGTTGAAAAGATGGACTGAAATAATCGATATGAAATTTAAATGGAAAGTCCTATAGTCAGGAAAAAATCAAATGGATGGGATATGACTTTTTATGCAAAAAAACTGGAGATTTTAACTATGAGGTTCAGTTTGACTCAGTTTCCCCACAAGCTAATGTCATCTCAGGTGGGTTAACTGTGTAGTAAAATGTTCTGAACAAGGTAGGAGATTGTCTGTTCTTCAGTTTACACATACAGAAATATCTGCTCAATTGTGGGCAAAATCATTCTGAGCAGGGATTCTTAACTTGAGCTCTATAAACCCTCAAGAGGACTGTGGATAGATTTCAGGTGATCCATGAACCTGGATGAAAAAATAAATACATTTTTTCCTCTCTAACCTCTAACTGAAATTTCACGTTTCTCTCAACATTATTCTAAGGAGTCTACAGGCTTCACCAGAATGCCCAAAAGGTTAATGACACAAAACAATTAAGAACTGGTTTAGAGGGACATTGATAAGTTGAGTTCATTCAGGAAAGGACAATCAGGATAATGAGAGATCTGGAAATGGAGTCCTTGAGAAACTAGTGTAATTAGCCTAGAGAAGACTAAGTTGTTTGGGAGTGGGTGAGCTAGCCATAGTTTTCATTTAGCATTTGAAGATCAGATGAAGGGGGAAGAATGATTAGGCTTAAACTGTGTTCCTCCAGAGAGTAAAGGAGAGGATGTAATTTGATGTAAGGAAAAGCTTTGTAGCAATTAGAGCAAGACTTTTCATCCTATTAGGCTGCCTCTCAGAGTGGTTAAGTGGGGGCTGAAGAACCACCAGGCAGGGATGTTGTAGAGGGAGTCCCTGGCCCTAGAAGATGACCTGGAAGGTCTCTTCCAAGCCTGAATGCTCTGTGACTACACAGCATCTTTCTTGTTACTACACACAGGTCCCTAGAATCTCGCTTGAGTTCATCATCTAGTTGATGGTTGCCCAGGAGCCCCCATTTTCTTTCTTTGAATCTATCCCCCTTCCCTACACCTCCCTCCCCCATAAGTCAGTCAACACAATTACATGACAACACATTGTAGAAGTGAAATGGGAAATGTGCTTAAAATAGAAATGCTGTAACACAGAAAATTACAATAAGCAGAATCTAATTTCAAAAAGGTTAGCACTTCCACATACCTGTCTCCTAGAAAATGGATTTAGTTTCGGGAAAGGGATTTAGCTAAACAGAGGATCCCAGCTCCTGTTTAGCCACCCTGGACACATTTTGCCACCCTTCAGATATCTCTTGGGAGCACTAACTAATTCCCCACTGCATCCTTTCCCATATCTACAATGTCAGCTCATAACACAGTCAGCCAGTCAGTCAGCTAGCATTTATTAATGCCTACTACCTGCTAAGTGCGAATGTTAATTGATTAACACAGATGTTAGTGGTCATTGTCAGCAGCCATTCTTCACAGAGGTGCTTCCTGTCTAATCTCATTCTGCCGTCTGAGATGTGAGGTTTAGCAAGCATAGCAATTCTGGCATCATTACATGCTTCCCCAGACTCCAGCTATGTCCGGATCTTCACCCTTGTCTAAACAACTATCATCATGTCTTCTCCTCTCTCTGCCTCTCTTGCAATTTTGCTTTAGGTATTTCAACACCTCCTACACTCAGAGACATCTCCATGCTGAGCCCAACACAGCCCTCTAGGATATGCACTAGGGATCTCTCCCAGTGAACAAGTCAGCCTGAGTCCCAAAGCATTGCGAGAATATCACATTTTACTAAGGAGAAGTCTCCTATAATACAATGAAAGATATTGAAGAATGAGTGGGTAAGACACTCATTAAATTATGACTGCCATGATTAATTGCATAGTGTCTATTTCATGGTTTTTATGACCTTTTTATAATGTATAACAATATATTTGCTTCTTAGCATTTTGTAACTGCAAGTGTTATCCTGTTTTGTTCTGGGGAATCTAAGCAAATTGATGGTGCTTGCTAGAACACACACACACACACACACACACACACACACACACACACACATACACAGTACCCCAAAAGTCTTAGACTGCATTAGATATATTACAAATATATTTATCTAATTAATAATTAAGGTTTTTATTCTTTGTGTATTGGAAGTTTATACCTCATTCTCTCTAAAATTAGTCAGATGGGGGCAGGTAGGTGGTGCAGTGGATAGAGCTCCAGCCTTGGAGTTGGGAGGACCTGAGTTCAAATCTGGCCTCAAACACTTAATACTTACTAGCTGTGTGACCCTGGGCAAGTCACTTAACCCCGATTGCCTCACCAAAAAGCAATAAAATAAAATAAGTCAGATGTAGAATACCAGGTTGGGGAAAGTCATAAATACTTCCAGAAGGCCACTGGTCTTCACTTGAGACAATAACCCAAAAACCTTATGGAAAGCAATTCAGAAGTTCTGTCTCCCCAGCTATACTGTGATAGAAAAATGTCCATCCAGGTCCTAACAGCCCGCTAAGATCACCTGGCATCATAGATCATCTGCTCCCACAGCTGCCTTAACCAATTGACCTCTCACTGGACTTCCAGACTTCTTGAAGGCATGTCCACCTCAAGAACCATGTCTGGTCACCTATTCAGGAAAAGTAATACAAAGCAGAAAAGTCTGGCAGGGGCCCAGGTGCAGCCTGTCCAGGCTGACTCACCCATCTACAAGAGACAGTCAAACAAAAGGGCACAATACTCCCTATGAGGGAAGGTTGCAGCCAAGAGAACCAGACAGAAGAGAGCTATCTGTTCTCGTAACTGATGCAGCTCTTACCACACTGCTTCTGTCACTCATGAGAATGGCCACGGGGCCACTCAGGGTTCACCACATTCATACTAAAATGAAAAATCCTTTCCGTCAACACATGATTGGAAGCATGCCCGAAAGCACTGACTTGGGCTTGGGAACCAGGAATTTCAGTGCTGCCAGCATGCTGGGGGCATGGGGTGGATGACTCCCACGGCCTCTATACATCACAGAAGGGAAGAGTGGGAAAGCCATCTTTGGAGGAGTTGCCATGCCATGATATCATTCCAATGTAGATGCTGATTTGGATGGCCATAGCAGCTGACTCCTATCTCCAGACAATTATAAAAAAAATTTTCTAATAAATCTCTTTTGTATATGTAAGTCTTATGTGAGGATTTTCTCTTTTTCTTTTCCTTAGCCCAGGAACTGAGTTACTACATAGTCAGTCATTTCAGGAAGGGAAGGGGAGAGGGAAGAGGGAACAAGGATTTAAGTACCTACTGTGCTACAGGCACTGTGCTAATTGCTTTACATATATTATTTCCATTTGATCCTCACAAACCTGGAGGTAGGTGCTAGTATTACCCTTATTTTACAGTTGGGGAAACTGAGGTACAAAGTGGTTAAGTGACTTTCCAGGGTCACACAGCTAGTGCCTGGGGCTGGATTTGAACTCAGATCTTCTCGACTCCAAGTGCAACATTCCATCCACCACACCATCTAGCAGCCCCTCAATTTGGAGAAGCATCTGCCACCATATGTAGGAATTGAAGTGAAAAAGAGAAAATCGTCTCGTTTTAAAACTCCATAAACTCACATAGAGAATCCTTATGGCAGTTGTTTCAGTGAGTGGCTCTAATTTAGACAATGAAGAGAAACTGGATGATACTGCTCATAGTTAGTCTTGGCACCAACCAACACTCTAGTCCTTGAATTGCCAGGTTAAGTCAACAAATGTTTATTAAAAGTCTATTTGCTTATTATACACCAGGAAGGCAAAAACAGTCCCTACCTTAAGGGGCTCACAATCTAATGGAGAAAACATTCAAGCAACTACGTACAAACAAGATATAGATCAGGTAAATTGAAGATAATCTCAGAGGGAAGGCGCTAGCATTGAGGGAGATCAGGAAAGCTTTTTCACAGAAGGTAGAATTCTAGATGAGGACTGAAGGAAGCCAAAGAAGCCAGGGATAAGAGATGAAGATGGAGAGCATTCCAGGTATGGAAGACAGCCGGTTCACAGAGCTGGGAGACAGATCGTGTTGGGTGGATGGCAAGGAGGCCAGGGCCACTGGATTACATGTATGTATGTGGAGAGGAGTAAGGTGTAAGAAGACCGGAAAGGTAGGAAGAGGCTGGGCTAGAAAGGGCTTTAGAAGCTAAACAGAGGATTTTATATCAAATCTGGAGATAATTAGGAGCCAATGGAGTTTACTGAATGGGGGTAAGGAAATAATATGGTCAGGCCTGCATTTTAGGACCATCCCTCTGATAGTTGGATGAAGGGTGGACTGGAATGGAAAGATATTTGAGGCAGAAAAACCAACTAGGAGATTACTGCAGCAATACAGGCATAAAGTAATGAGGGTCTGTATCAGGGCGATGGCAGATTCAGAGATGAGAAAGGGGTATATACAAGGAATGTTGTGAAGGTATCAGTTTGACAACAGATTGGACATGGAGGTAAGAAAGAGTAAAGAGTTGAGAACGATACCTAGTTGTCAGCCTGGTTGGGAGAATTATGGTCCCTCAACAGTAATAGGGAAGTTAGGAGGAGGGGAGGATTTGGGGAGAAAGGTAATGAGTTCGATTTTGGACATGTTGAGTTTAAGATGTTCTGATGTGGGACCAGAAAGGAAGGGACCTGAATTTTAATTCCAAGCCCATCTGTGGCATACTCTATGCTAAGAGTGGTATATGATGGACTGAACAAAGAATTTCACTGAGAGTCAGGGAACCTGGGTCTGAATCTTGGCTCTTGTGCTCACTGGCAGGCAATTAACCTCTTGGGGCTGAAGGGCCTTCATCTGAAAAATGTGAGGTTTGGACAAGATGACCTCTAACGTCCCTCTCAGCTTTAAATCTTAGATCCTATGGCAACCTCATGCTCTGCTTCCCTGGGCCTGCAAGAAGATGCTTCCTGTCTGCCTCCCATTCTCTCCATCCTATTTCACTGAGAGCTAAGCAGATCATTTGCGTGAACGCCTGATGATGGGGCTACTTGACTGGTGAGCCATGAAAATAAACCTGGTTTTCAAGGTCTTGTTGACGGGTCTTTGCTGACATCATCGTTGTCTCCATGTGGCCAGTCATGTAGCGATGCTGGTGCACGTAAGGAAGCCTGCTCCACATACATAGCCACTGAAACAGATGGGAAGCACAGTGGGTAGGCCTGGGTTCAAATCCAGCCTCAGGCACTTAGCTGTGTGACCAGTCGCTTAACCCTGTCTGCCTCAGTTTTCTTAACTGTACAGTGGGGATGAAAATAATACCTACTCCCCAGGGTGGTCGTAACTATCAAATGAAATAATATTTGTAAAGAGCCTGGCACATAGAAGCACTTAATAAATAATAATAATAACTATCATATAGTACTTACTACGTGCCAGGCACCGTGCTAGGTGCTTTGTAATTATTATCTCATTTCATCTTGAAATAAGGTAAAATATTTTAAGCAGCCAGAGCTGAGGAAAGTCTCTCCTCTTTGAGTAGTCTTTCCCTTTCACAATCCTAAAAAAAAACCCAAACCAAACAAAAAACAAAAAAATAAATAAACTTGAACCCAAATAATTGTAAATGGTCAAATACTTTAATGGGAATTTCAAATAGTATAGAAATATGCCTTTAAAGGAACGAGCTAGGGGGCAGCTAGGTAGTGCAGTGGATAGAGCTCTGGCCTTGGAGTCAGGAGGACCTGAGTTGAGATCTGGCCATAGACACTTGACACTTACCAGCTGTGTGACCCTGGGTAAGTCACTTAACCCTGATTGCCTCAGCAAAAAAAAAAAAAAAAAAGGAACAGGCTTCTACTTAAAGGTTGTGATGGCTGCAGCCAGGGGATTGAACCTCTTCCTTATCCCCAATCCCAACTGAAGGGAAAAAAGAAAGTGAATGAGAGGACAGGTAAATACAGGGTGGCTTTTCTGCTTCCGGGACCAGATCCTAGTAATTTCACCAACCACCACACATCTCTCTCTGTCTGTCTCTGTCTCCCTTTCTTTCTTTCTTTCCTCTCCATTCTCTCTCTCCTTTCTCTGTCTCTGTCTTTCAGTGTGTCTCCCCCCCTCCCCACTCCTCTGTCTTTGTTCCTCTGTCTTTGTCTATCTCTGTCTGTCTTTCTCTCTGGGTTCACTCTACTATGTCATGAGGTTTCAGTTCCACATACTTTTCCTAGGGCAGTGTGCCCAATCCTACCTATTCCCTTTCGGCTCCACAGGAGAAGCACAGAATGCAGTTAGGGCATCAGGAGTGGCTCCCTCTGTGTCTTCTCTCCATTTTGGCCGTGTGGCTTCCTGGCAATACACACACTGGCATATAGACCCTCCTAACCTCAGCAATTCTCCATGGAAAAGACTGTAGGTGAAAGGACTGCACATGCTTGGGCAGAGATGTCAGATGCTTTACAATAGCCTTAAAGATAATACTATCTATCTCTGACAAATAAGATCAGAGGAGAATTGGGCAAGGTGGAGGCAGATGAGGAGATTAGATGACTTCTTGGCTCCTCTTGGACAGGGAATTCATAGCAGGACTTGTTTATATGCTGTGAAATGCTGTACATTCCCAGAATACCAGCCCATGATCATCTTTAGTGGAGCACAGGGCCCAGGGCCATCCGCGGATGGGTATGATGGGGTGAATCACGTTGTATTAGCCCTCCTTTTCCCCCTATCATCTTTACACAGGTGAATACATGACTGAATTAAAAAGAATTTATTAAGTGCTCTATACAACCTGTCTTCAACATCAATGTTTTACTTGTATAAAAATTATTTTCTTTTAATATTATTGCTTTATCCTTCTGTTCTTCCAGATTGTCCTTCACATCTGTGTGTTGGCATTCCCAACCCTTTGTTCTCTATTTTGTTTCTTTGGTGACATTTGCCACTGTGGACTGAAGTTTGTTTGTTTCTATTCTGTTGATAATTGTTCTGCTTTGGCAATTTTTATTTCTCTCTTAAACCATTCAGGGACAGCCTGTTGTGATTCCATGTTTTCTTGAGAATCTGCTGGGTCCTCTGGCTCATGAGGTGTTGATACATTTTCCTTTATCTTGTAATACTTATTCAAAAACTTCTGACTCATTTAGATAATCTGGAAACAACCTTCCCTTAATACTGTCTATGCTGGTTTGTCTTGTACTCAAGGTTGTTCACTGAGTGTTCTTCTTTCTGATATCTTTGGTAATTTCAGTTTTTGCTTTAGAGGCAGCTGGTGGCATAGCACAGAGAGCACTGAGCTTGAAGTCAGGAAGGCTCAAGTTCAAATCTGGCCTCAGGCACTTACTAGCTGAGTGACCCTGGGGACGTTACTTAGCCACTGTTTGCCACAGTTTCCTGAACCATAAAATGTGATCAATAATAGCACTTCTCTCCTATGGTTGTTGTAAGGATCAAATGAGATAATATTTGTAAAGGTGCTCAGTATAGTGCCTAGCCTGTAACAGGCACTGTATAAATACTTATTCCCTTACATTTCCATATCACTCACTTTCTAACTCCTTCCTCTTTAATGGTGGCTAGTGGGGGATAGAGTGCTGAGTGAACATATTAAGAATTAGCGATTAGCCTTCACTGCTGTTAGTCTGTTGGGCTTCTTAGTGTCTGAGACCCTGGAGATAGCTGATATTGCTTTATCTCTAATACACAATTATTATTTTGGAGAGGTATGAGAGATTTGGAGTTTAGGAGAGTGTCACATTCTCCATCTCATTAATCATGTGACATGAAACCAACCTATTAAGTTTTTTTATCAAGTATAAAGCACCAGGTCAAGTTTTGAAAGACACTGTAAGACAGTTCCTGCTCCTGAGAAATTCACATTCTAATGGGGGAGATAACCTACTCTGAAGGGTGCAGTCATAAGGCAGAAGGAAAGGTCCAGTGGTCCTTAGTTATAAAGTAATGATACTAATGCGTCTTTACTATTATTCCCACTGATAAAACTGTATCTGTTTCTGACATTGGTCCATTTGATAGTATCAAAGACTTTGGTGGTGAGAACTTTCTTTACTGGGTTATCAGTGGCTACAACTGCCAAGGAGGCAGAGACCACAGCACTTGCAAAGACATTTTTCCAAGTGGAATCTCCACAAAGATTGATTCTTTGTACAATAGCATTGAGGACCAAGTTGAAAGCAAGGCTAGTGGTCTGAAGGGAGCTGTTATTCTCAGGGCTCTTGGGCCAAGGGGTCTGAGGGGAGGTGGTGGTTGGGGTAGTATTAGTGATTAGACTGACATCTGCCACCTGGCACATGCTATCTCTATCTCTCCCTTCCCGTGCCTTACTGCCTCAGCTAGGCTGGCTTTATGCCACATTGATGACAGTTGGTCAGCTGTCGGTGCTAGCAGTGGGGATGGCAGGCCCTTTCTCCACAGCGCCCCTTCTTCCCTGGATGATGGCTTTAGGGAAGAGGCTAGAAGCGTGGCTAGCAGTCTGGGGACCTTGTCATTCCCAGGGCTCTTAGGCTTACCAGCTTATCAGTGGTGATTGGTCAGCAATTGGTTTTGGCAGTGGTGGGAAGATGGGCCCCTTCTCCATAGGCTTTTTCATTATTCATTTACCTGTATCCTTTACCACACCCTTTTAGGGATGGTCCATGTAGCGAAAACTATACAAGGCAGGCTTGAGGAAAGAAAAGAAGTAACATGGAAGGGTAACAGGAAGCCTGAGAGATGGGAGTCTGGCTGTTGGTGCCAGGCTATTAATCTTGAGTCTATGCATATGAGTCTCAAATGGTCAGAGGCAAGTCTCTTCCTTTTCTTCATCCTTCCTCAAAGGGAGGAGACAAGCATTTATTCCTGCCTACTGTGCCAAGCATTTTGCAAATATCTCATTTGATTCTCAGTACAACCCTGGGAGGCAGGTGCATTTTTACAGATGGGGAAATTAAGGTCAGCAGAGATTAAGTGATTTGCCCAGGGTCACACAGCCAGTAAGTGCTTGGGGTAGAATTCAAACTCAGATCTTCCTGACTCCAGGACCAGTGATCTATCCACTGAGCCACCTAGCTGTCTCTCTGGGTCATCCAACAGCTGCCAGAACTCCACAGTTATGGAAAAGTGCCCTACTTCCCCCATTTCTCAAGCCTGGAGCCCTGGAAAATCACCATGATTTACCTGGAGATGGCTTTGTATCCTCTCACTTCAAACAGAACTAGAGAAAGGAATTCCTAGAACTGGGGAGGAATCAGAGATGGCTAGCCTGAAGGGACCTAAGAGACCATATGGTCCAGCCTACTCATTTTACAGCTGAGGAAACTGAGGATGAACGAGGAAGAGGGACTTGGCCAAGGGCATACAGCCAGTAAATGCCAAATCTAAGAACCATTATCTCCAGAGATGGCATTCTCTATACCACATCATAATGCCTAAAACTTAGATCAATCAAAAAGCATTGATTAAACACCTACTGTGTTCCAGGAACTGAGGATACAAATACAAAAAGTGGGACAATCTTTGAACTCAAGAGCCAAGTATTTTGCTTAGGAAGAAGCTAAGATTCCGAGATGAAGACTTCCTGGAGTTCACAGTTAATTGGGGGCAGGTTTGGGACCAGAACTCTAATCAAGTGAATTTGTTGCTGTATGTACTCCAAATTCAATTCCTTCAATCAAGCAAATGAGCAAGGTAATAATTTGTACTCTAATAATATTAATAACATAATCATTATACTATGATAAAATTATAATGCACCAATAATACTTATCTAGTAATTGTTTTTATTAAGCATCTGCTATGTGCCAGTCACAGGGGACACAAAGAGAAAAAAAAATGAGTCTTTGGTCTCAAAGAGCTTACATTCTTTTGAGGGGAAATAACAAATAATGAAAAAATGTAAAATTACACAAAATAGAACATAATCTATGTGAATGGAGAAAGAGATACGGATCATCAGAGGAATCACTCAGAAAACACCTTCTGTAAGAGCTGAGACTTCAGGGGGCAGCTAGGTGGCTCAGTGGATAGAGCACTGGCTCTGGATTCAGGGGAACCTGAGTTCAAATCTGGCCTCAGACACATAACACTTACTAGCTGTGTGACCCTGGGCAAGTCACTTAACCCCAATTGCCTCACTAAAAAGCAAAAAAAAAATGTAGTAGTGATAAATGTCTGTCGATTGATTGATGATACCGTGTCAATACCTTAGCCCAGCAGCTTGAGCCTTAAAAGTTAGTCATTGTTGCCACCTACTGGTCATTTGAGGAAGTACACCCTGGCAGAGCAGAGGCCAGGAACCACAAGGACCAGAGTGGAAACACAGCGCTTCTGCCCAGGGACCTATTTCCTAGACAAGCTGAGAGATGAGCTGAGATGAGAGCAAGGCTAGATTCAAATGGTCTGCAGGTCAAGGTATCACGTCTTTGGGCTGAAGATCTCCTGATTTTTCGTGGTGGAATGGAAAAAGCCCTAAGCTGGGAGTCATGAAACCCTGAGACCAATTTTTTGGACAAGTCACTTCAACTCTCTAGACATCAGTTTTCACATCGATAAATTAGGAGGGCTGGACCCTCATTAAGCTCCATTACAGCTCTAATATTCTGGGTGTCTGTAAGATTTTGGCTGTGTGACTTTATACCCGTTGCACCCTACCTCTGTTCTGCCTGTGAAAGCGGCTGCAGAAAGGTTCTGTCAGAGCCACAAGCAGGATTTTTGTACCAGAGGAAAGAGGCCAGAAAGGCAATGATCAGTGCAGGGGAGGGATGTGAGACAGAGACCCTGGCCCACTCGAGGAGGAGCTGGCCTTTGCAGATCATTCAGTAGCCTCCAATCCAACAGTAATTTATTAAAGTTCTTACTATGAGCAAGGCTCTGTGGTGGGTGATGGAGATTCATAAGCAAAATGAAAAATAGTTCCTGCCTTCAGAGGGCTTTTATTCTACTGGTCTGGGGGATCTCAACTTTCTTTGTGTCATGGACCCTTTGGGCAGTGTGGTGAAACCTATGGATCTCTTCTCAGAATAACATTACTAAATGTATAAAATAAAATGTATAGGATTGCAGAAGAAACCAATCATATAGAAATACAGTTACCAAAACAGTTTTATAAAAATGTATGGATCTCAGAACCACTGTTAGCTAGGGAATGCAACATGTAAAGAGATAAGTATAACAGAAGGTAAACTGGAAAGGAAGGGACCGTGTAGGTGAGGCATTCTTAATCTGAACTTATTTTTTTAAAAAATATATATATATATATATATTTTGATAAATGTATTTCAGTATAATTGCTTTCCTTTGTGATACCATGTATGTACTTTATGCATTTAGTAACATTATTCTGAGACAGGCTCACTAGGCTTCAGCAGCCCTGAAGGGGTCCATGACATACACAAAAATGTTCAGAACCCCTGGACTAGGGTGCTTGGAAAAGTCTTCCCCTAGGAAGTGAGCTAAGTGTTGATAGATGATAGGGATTTTAAGAGGTAAGGGTCAACGTGTAAAAGGGTATAGAAGAACGAGGAGAATGCAAGGCTTAAGTTCAGGGAACATAGAGCAGTGCAGTTTGCCTGGAATGTAGAATGTGCAAAGAGGAGTATCTTGATCTAAGCCTGGAAAGGTGGCACCAGATTGTGTAGCACTTGAAATATAAGGCTGAAGAGTTTATATTTTATTCTAGAGGCCAGGAGAATCCACTGAAGATGTTTGAGCAGGAAGGGTCATGGCCAGATTTGTGTTTTCGGAAGGTTATTTTGCAGATTGTGGAGGATGGTCCAGGAGGGAATAGACTGAAAACCAAGAGTCCATATAGGAGGCTGCTGCAATTCCAGGCAATAAGGAAGGAAGGAAGGAAGGAAGGAAGGAAGGAAGGAAGGAAGGGAGGGAAGAAGGAAGGATTTATAAAATGCCTGCTATGTACCAGCTTTTTTTATGAATATTATGTCATTCAATCCTTCCAACAATCCTGGGAAGTAAGGGCTCTTATTATCCCCATTTTACAGATGAGGAAACTGAAGCGAACATAGGTTAAGTGACTTGTCCAGAGTCACACAGCTAAGAAGTGTCTGAGGCTGGATTTAAACTTAGATCCTCCAGGCTCTAGGTCCAGCACTCAACCTGCCGAGCCACATGGCTGCCTCTGAGATGACGAAGACCTGAACCATCACGGTGGACATATGAGTGGAGAGAAGACAATAGATCAATAAAAAAAAATAGCAAGTGTTTATTTCTTAGGTGCCTACTGTGCCAGGCACCTTGCTAATTGCTGAAGATACAAAGACAAAAGTGAAACTAGACCCTGTCCTCAAGAAGTTAAATGATACATTTGATAGAGTACAGGTAGTGTCAGGAAGACCTGAATTCAAATCCTGCTACAGACACTTACTAGCTGTCTATATTTGTGACCCGGAGCAAATCACTTAACATTTTTCTGTTTTAGCTTTCTTATCTGTAAAATGAGGATAATAAATAATATCTGTATCCCAGAGTTGCTGAGAAAATCAACTGAGATAAAGCACTATATATAAGTGATAACTATTTTTATTATGTTAACCAAGGAAACAGCATGTACATATATAAGTGTATGCAACATATATATGTATATATGTGTGTATATATATACGTATACATGTGTTTGTGTGTATATATTCATATATATCTATATCCATCTATTTATATATGAATACAAGGTAGTTTTGGGAAGGAGAGCACTAGGAGATGGGCCAGGGGAGGAATCAGGGAAGACTACATGTAGGAAGCAGATCTTTACTGTGCCTTAAATGAAATCAAGTGAGGAGGAGAGGAAGGAGTGGATTACAGGTACAGGGACAGGAAATGCTAAGACAGACAAGGGAGTTACAGGCACTGGCAGGTAGGTCAACAGGGCTGTGTGATCAAGTTTGTGGAGGGAAGTAACACTCAAGACTGGAAAGATAAGAAGGGGCTTTAAGGGGAAGAGCTTTAAATGCCAAACAGAGAGAGGAGTTTACATTTGGCCCCAAAGATAGTATGGATCCACTGGAGTTTATTGAATAGGAGTTTAATTTGGTCAGGCGAATACTTTAGGAAAATTACTTTGGCTTCCATAGGAAGAATGAATTGGGGGCAGCTAGGTGGATTGAGTCAGGAGGACCTGAGTTCAAATCTGCCCTCAGACCAAACACTTGGCACTTACTAGCTGTGTGACCCTGGGCAAGTCACTTAATCCCAATTGCCTAAAAAAAAAAAGAAGTTAAAAAAAGAATGAATTGGAGAGGGGAACACTTGAAGCAGGGAGACCTTGTAGGAGGTTATAGTAAAAGGGCAAGAAGTGATGAAGACATGAAGGTATGTTGTGAAAATATAGATAAGACTTAGCAACTGATTAGATCAACCATCAACCAGCAAGTATTTATTAAGTGCTTACTGTGTGCTATGCACTGGGGATACAAGTACAAAGGTTGAAGGAGCCCTCCTTGTCCCATTACATTCCAATGGCGGGGGTGGGGTGGGGACAAGTGGGAAGAAGCGGGGGAGAGTAAAGGGAGAAGAGAAGGCCTAGGGCAGAATGGTGGGGAAGACCCACAGTAAAGGGGCCTGATTTGGGTGGTGAGCAAGCAAAGGAGGATGTGGGGGTGTCGCTATAGCAAGTGAGGGAGATGGAGGAAGCAAGGATGACGGTCTGGTTGTGCTCCTGGGTGACCAGAAGGCTGGCGGCGCTCTCAGCAGAAGTAGGGAAGTTTGGAAGAAAGGCGAATTTGGGAAGAGGAGGCGTTCCCTTCTGGACATGCTAAATCTGAGATTCTCACAGACGGAGTCTTGAGGTCAGGGACTGGCTCATTTGGTATCTCGGGCACACAGCATAGGGCCCTGCTTGTGGTAGACGTGTAATAAATGCTTGTTAAATGAATAAGTAATAAACATCCAACAGGCAGTTGGTAACTGGGGCCTGGCATGCAGGAGGCTGTATAGCCATTTGGTTCTTATAACAACCTATGAGGTAGGTGCTATGCTTATTCCTGTTTTACAGATGAGGAAACTGAGATAGCCAGAGTTTAAGTGACATGCCCAGCTAGCAAGTGCCAAGACCAGATGTAAGCTGAGGTCTTCCTGACCACAGGTCCAGGGCTCTCTCCACCGGCCACCAGCTGCCAGGAGAAGGTGGCAAACAGCGTCAAAAGCTGCAGAGAGGTCGAGGCATTTGCATTTGGCAACTACATCATTGGTAACTTTGGAGAGCACAGTTCCAGTTGAATCATGAAGCCAGAAGCCAAGTTACAAGGGGTTGAGAAATGAGTGGGAGGAGAGGAAGAAGAAGAGAAGCTGGAGTAGTCTGGAGGGCCTAGATGACGTGGTGGAATTGGGGAAGTCCTGGCTCCCTTTCCCACCCAGCTGCCCTACCCTCCGTCTCAACTCTCCCCATCCCTACTAAGAAATGGCTCCAAGTACGTGCCGATGGTCCGGGAGGTTCCGGGCAAGAGGTGGCAAAGAACCAGATTCCTACACTGTGATGTGAAGGCTTTGGCTCATATCAGTTCATCCACTGACCAAGTCTTGGCCGAGCTGGTGCATGTGTGTCCCAGGGGTCTTAACTGCCACTCTGTGTTGGTGTTATTGTCATTTGTTGTTGTTGTTGTTATTGTTTGTCCTTCGTTCTCGAAGAGGACTGTGACATCAGGAAGGAGATGCCATGACTTGTAAGTGAATTGGATTTAAGTGAGGCAGGGCTGTGCAATGTCACCAGCCTCACGTTCTCCTTCAGAGCCTAACAA